ACAAACAAAATTACAAGCTAATCAACCAACTGGAAAATTATTAATAAGGACAAATTTTCATTTTGTGTCCCAAAAAACTGACTGAGGGTACTAAAAATTAGAGTAGTCAAAAGGGTCATGCCGGGCCGGCACGGCCCTTCTAACCCCAGGCCCGTGGCGGGCCTGGGCGTGCTTGGCACGGCCCTGTACAGTGCAGGGTCGTACCAGGGCCGGGCCTGAGGAGAATCCCTCAGGCCCAGCGCTGGCCCTTTCAAAATATTTTTCAATATTTAATAAAAAAAATCACGTCCCCAAAAGATGTGATTTTATTGAATTGAGATAATATGAATTAGTACACATAAATGACTACCTCGTTAAAAATCTTGCCAAGTAAAACTCGTGGAGAGATCGAGACAAAACCTTAGCGAAGGAAAAAAGAGTGTAGTATTCTAGGATAAGTAAATTACAAAACCTAGGTGCTTCTAGATGATTCTGTTATATCTAAGTTAGAAAAGTATTCTTGAATTGAATCATCTGTATATTGTCGTTTTCGTCTTCTGGCATCTTCCTAGTCTTTAACGCACGTTAGCCCCTCCAAGATAGCCAGATACATTATGCTTCTCTTCTCATCAAAAATTCGGTTGCTTGCACTAAATGTTTTCTTTGATGCTACCATTATAATCTCATCTTACGATATGATTGGACTCGTTTTATGAACTCAAGTCACTCTTGGAAACTCACGTAGGTCGTTCTTTATTCGGTCCAAATTCAAATCCCACTTAAGGGTTTTAAATTAGAGAAAAATACATGATTTGTCATGATTTTGTGCATATATATTATTTACGCTATTAAAATAATTGGGTGTCATCATGACCTTTTGTTTCATCTTTACTAATTGAATGATAATTGTTAATTTTTAAGTGGGGTGGCATAAATAATATTTTTTTTACCATCTTGAGTGCTATTTATGGTTTTTTTTCCTTTAAATTAATTGGATTAAGGACAGATGTTGAGATATAAGTGGAACTCCACCTATTTAATGTTGAAGGCTGCACTTCCGTATCAACAGCTCATCACAACGTATATGAACAATAAGAACAATAAGCTTTTAATTTTTGATACTGATTGGAAGATTGGTGAGTACTTTTTTAAATTTCTAGAAGTTTCTACAATGCTACTGAATTACTTATGGAGTTATAGGGATACTGAATTTTTTAGAACTATAGTTAAGCTAATGGAAGTTAAATTTAAAAGTTATTGGTCCGGTTGTCCTATGTTATATGCATTAGCAACCATTTTAGATCTAAGATGTGGAGTAGATGAGACCGAATCTTTAATGACTGCTGCGGCAGAAAATTTAAGTATTGATATGCTACTAACTATTACTAATGTTAGGAAAATATTAGAAAAAATATTTAGTTTGTATGAAGCAAAATACGGAACAGGTCAAAAAGAACAGGGAACATCGACGTCAACAAGTAGTTTGGGGCCTAAAGGCTCATCGTGGAGCTTCTTGAAGAAGAAAGAGAAAACGTCAGGATTGTCATCAACACAAGTGTCTACCGAACTGGTAAAATATTTTGAATCAAATTTTATAATCGATGACAACAAACTGGACACCTTACAGTGATGGAAGGGCAATACCGATCGTTTTCTAATACTGTCCGTAATAGCCCATGACATTCTGACAACTTCAGTATCAGCGGGTGTTGTAAACGACCATTAACAAGAGTGATTTGGGAAAATAATTTGACTTAAAATTGACTAAATCTACTTTTTTTCACGGAACTAATTAAGACTTAAATTTGGAGTTATCTTCATTCATTAGTTACTCTTTTTTTTAAGAAGCCGTTAATTACTCTTTAACACCGTCAATCGTCATAAAGGAATACGCAAAAAAGCTTCCTTAAGTTATGAGAGCCACTTTGGGAAGTTTCATAATTTAGGGGTCATTGTAGGAAGATTAACAAAGTTCGAGGGCTGTTGACGTTATTTTTCTCTCTTATCTTATTGCTACATATAAAATAGAAGACGTGGATGACCGGGTCTTTCTAATAAGGGTGAACAAAAAACCTGATTAGGGCCGGTAATTCGGGTAGTGACACAACGATATGACTCGAAACTCTCACGGAGTTAGAGAATTTGGGCTTACTATAAATAGGTTTGGGTTATAATCGGATTGACATAATTAACACGATTAATAAATGAGTTGGGTTAGGGTTGACCGCTTAACACGAAGTGACACAAATTGACACGATTAACTATATGTGTTATCTGCAATCTAATGATATGTGATATAATATGAAAGTTTATATGACACATTAAATACAAATAATGTGAATTTTAATATTTGTACGTAAAATTCATTTATTTTTCTTACAGGAAAAGATAAATTGACAAATAAACATGTTAAACATGTCTTGACCGTGTTAATTAAGTCATTATTATATTAGTTATTTATTCAATATATTAATTTAAACGGGTTGACATGATTAACACGATTAATAAATGGGTCGTGTTTGGGTTAGTATTTTTGACACGTTAAATAAACAAGTCATTTTTGAGTTGATGTTTTCTGACACGATTAATAAACAGGTTGACATGAACGCGAATCACTAGCACGAATTGCCACCCTTAAACCCGACAACCTGAGAAACCCGATTAACCCACTCAATCCAACCCATTTTAATCCAAACCCGACCAACCTGATCAAAAGATCAACCCAACCCACCCAATCCGACTATTAATTGGGTGGGTTTGAGTTAAGTTTTTCTTAATCTAAATTAACCCGAACCCACCCAATTTATTTATCTATATAAATAAATATTTTTCTACCTCATAATATATAGTTTTTGTCTTTTACATTATTTACTTGACAGTCTATTATGTCTTATGTTGTATGAGTTGTTATTATTATTTGTTTGTAGGTTTACAACATATATATTTGAACTTGTTTTGTATATATTTTATTTTTAAATTGATTTATAACTTATGCAATAATTTTGAAATTTTATAAGGCTAATATTGTGATGAAAGTTAGCTTTCTTTTTATACATTTTTTATTTTAGGTTGAATGATTTTGGCTTTATTTATTTTTTATTTTTTTATTATTTTCAACCCAATCAACCCACCCAATCCACTCAAAATTTATTTGGATGGGTTGATTTTAAATTTAGGTTGATTAGGTGGGTTAAATTTAAAATCAACTCACCTAAGATGGGTCGAAAAAAATCTCAAAAACCCACCCGATATTCACCCCTCCTTTCTAACTACTTCCTGAAAATAATCGATTTTCAGCTTCGAGTAAGCATCAGCAAGAACATATTACAGTTCAGTCAGCATTAAACAAATATAAAAATTATAAAAAAAAAAAACCCCATTCTTAGAGTGTTGATATGGCCAAGCACTTATATTAATTATGTTTTAAAAATATCCAGAAATTTTAACCTTTTGTAGACCTATTATTATGTAATGTGAGACAAATTGGTGGAGTCAATTATGGTGGAACTTTAATTCGGTGGGTGGCCAGTCCTCGTTCGTGGTAAATGACTGGGTCCTTCAATCATCTAACGCGCTCTCAACAAGCATTCATGAGGCGTTTTCTAAATTTTACCAATACATGTATTAATGCAACAGCTAAGGCCATAAGGCATAAGCAATTTGCACACATTTAAGTGGAAAACGCGAATACTGCTCTTATAAGTCATGCATATTTTTAACTAAATTTTGTGCTCTCGTGTTGGGGAAACCCATTAGGATACTTCGTGGTATAAAAAATCATCAAGATATTTTGAGCACCTTCTTTGGACTTAAGATGACTACTCTACCTCCTTCAAAAAAAAAAAAAAAAAAAAAAAAAAGACTATTCTACCTGTTTTGCCTAAAAACATAATCAAATGAATATATTAAGACAGGGACAACCCAACTAAAAAAAGAAAAAAACATAGCAAAATCAAAACAAAATCAAACAAAAAAAATTCATTATCCAAATCATAACGAAAAAATAAAATCCAACTCTCAAACAAGGTGAAACACCTATAAGTCAATAAAATCAATAGATGAAGCAGTCAAACTCCTGAAAAATCAAAAAAAAAAAAGAAAAGAAAAAGGAAAACAAATCAAACCAAAACAACAAAATTAAGAGAACAACAACAAATTGGATATGGGTTACAAATTGAAGAGTCTGAAGTTTGGGGAACTGGTGTTACAAATGAAAGTTCGTGGACATTTTGTGATAAGGCATATAATTCATGCAGAAAATATGAAATTTGTCATTTCTTTAGTTTCTAAAAAATATTTTTAAACCGAAAGGATAGAATTGTCGTTGTATCAAAGAATGAACTTAAAGTGAGCAGGTAATCATTTCTTTAGTTTCCATACAAGGTCAAATTGCAAAATTGTTATAATACCTTAGGTTTAAAAATGACATTTAAAAAAAAGGAAGAAAACTAGTACTCAACCGGGGAGTAAGAAGAAAAATAAACCCGTTCATTTCATCGATTCGAGTTTTGTTACAGTAAAAAACTCTTCGAAACAGTCACATCTAATTTTTTTGATACAGTAAAAAGATTTCACATAAAATTATATATTAATTTAAATTAAAAATTTAAATTAGTAAACTAAACGGACCTAATATTGTTGAAAGCTAAAATTTGAGCATGAAAAACTTTGGATGAAGGTTTCATCGAAATCGTTGACCAAATAAAGTCCTCAAATACATTTCAGCGAAAAAAATGTGATCTGGCGGACAAATACAAGGGATCTGGCGGACATTAAAAATGTGATGTTATATATAATAACAAAAGGAAAAAGTCAGATATATATTACTCGCGGGGTTTTTATTAAACACCTCCCCGTTTTTCAACTCTTTAGCTGTATTTTTTTTAATATATATTGAATATTCTCAATTTCGCTTCAAAAGTCAAATTCTTTAATGCATGTTGCTTTCCACAATTTTCACCGAAAATACAAAGCAAATATAATCCTATTAAAAAATATAAGTTTTTAATTGAGTAGAAAAAAGGGGAGAAAACTGCAAAGGAGAGATGTTCAATCTTCCAATTTTCTCCGAGTTGAAACAAGAATGAACTTCTTTAATGGAGAACAAGAAAGCTAACATCATAGCTTGTTCCGCAGTCATTACTCTCATCATCCTCATCATCGTTGCTCGCATCGTTCTCGGACTCTCCAAGGCCTTCTTCCTCCTCTGCGGCGCCGGCGTCGCCGTCATCGTCGCCGTCTTTGCGTGGCTCGTAATCAGACGCCACTACAACCGCAGCCGAAAGGTCTTGGAATCGCAACTGATCTCCGAAGGCCGAGAGCTCCGAATCGAGTACAGCTTCCTCCGAAAAGTCGCCGGAGTCCCCACGAAGTTCCGGTACAAGGAGATAGAAGAAGCAACAGACAATTTCCAAGCGCTGCTAGGTCAAGGAGCCTCTGCTTCGGTCTTCAAAGGAATCCTCAGCGACGGCACTTCCGTCGCGGTGAAGCGCATCGACGGAGAGGAGCACGGCGAGAAGGAGTTGAGGTCGGAGGTCGCAGCCATCGCCAGCATTCAGCACGTGAACCTTGTTCGTCTTTTAGGGTACTGTTGTGTTCCAAGTGGTCCTAGGTTTCTTGTTTATGAGTTTGTCTTGAATGGATCGTTGGACTGTTGGATTTTCCCCAAAAGGGCAACTCCAAACCGCCATGATCGCCCCCAGCGAGGTGGGTGCTTGCCTTGGGACTTAAGGTATGCTATATTTTTGCAGATGCAATGGAATTTTTTATTATTATTATTTATTGAAAATTAAACACGGGAATTATAGGATAGGGTAAAGGATAAAAAGAACAGTTACTATTGTGTTGTTATTTTAGTTGTATTTGTAATAAGTAGGATTAGTTACAAGCACTTCCCTTTTATTTTCACATTTTTCACCTTTTATTTTGAAAAATTATAACTATATAATGTAATTTCACTTTCTTTTTGATATACAAAACTCTTCCCCATAAATGGTTTTCTTCAAAACTAGTGTTTGGCGTTTTATCCCAAAATGAGACAACTAATAGATCTTAATTGAGAACAAGATTTAGGCTTTTTCATTTTTTGAACTTAGATTTTGGCATTACGTGCCAAACCATGGCCGGCTCAAGCAATTTTGGAGCCTTAAGCCAAATCATGTCCTATTTTCTTGAGGAGAACAAAAGTCATAGCCACAAGCAGGTATCACGAAGAAAGGGCTGGTGGAGGAGCTTCTTCTTTGCCTTTTCTGAAGCTTCAATCGTGGTTTTAGAAGAAAGGGTTGTGGTTCATGGATGAAGATACCTTGAGCCTAAAACAATATAGGTTTTTTTGTTCGGAAAATATTTGGGGCGCTATAAGTATTAAGCACACAACAACTAATAGAGAGAGCGAGTTCCATTTGAGAATCCACATCATATGACTCAATATTACTCTTTATATTAGAGTGTGATTCTGAAGACCATTGGTGCCCTTTTATCACTATTTTTTTACCACCTCCAAATGCAATCATTTTAGGTTATTTCCTTGGATGTAGATGCTGTCTACTACTCCTACAGTTTGGAAAGAGTAAATCTAATATTTTTTTTATACGTTTCCTTAATTTTATCATTGATAGGAAGTGATTAACAAACAAAATCAAGTAATCTGCTATTAAATTATAATTTTCAATTTCAATTATAAAAGGTTATCCTTAAAAATGTCAAAATAAGGGAAGGTTTTTTAATTCACCTTAGGAATGACTGTGAAATCAACTCCTAATAACTAAACTTTTTAATGATTTTAATCCTTTAAGCGAGCAAGAATTTGAAACTACTGAATCTTCGAATTGATTTTGGTACATCCCCATAAGAAAAAAGAAGTTAATATTGGTAACATGAATAGTTGATTTGTTAAAAGTCGTTGTTTAAAAATTTAGACGTGGACTAAACTCCCTTGTTTCTACAACAGGTACAGAGTTGCTGTGGACGTGGCCAAGGCACTTGCTTACCTACACCACGATTGCCGGTCGAGAATTTTACACCTCGACGTGAAACCGGAGAACATCCTTCTCGACGAGAATTACCGGGCAATTGTCGCCGATTTCGGCCTCTCCAAACTGATGGGGAAAGACGAGAGTAGAGTCTTAACAACCATTCGAGGAACTAGAGGTTATCTGGCACCAGAGTGGCTTCTCGAGCATGGAATCTCGGAGAAGTCCGACATTTATAGCTACGGAATGGTTCTTTTGGAGATGATTGGAGGCCGAAGAAATGTGAGCTTTATAGACGACGATACTAACGGTAAGTCAGGCAGAAAGCGGAAGTTTTTTCCAAAGATAGTGAACGAAAAGATGAGAGAAGGGAAAATTATGGAAGTGGTGGATAGTAGGATTGTTGAGAGCGGAGAAGTGGATGAGAAAGAGGTAAACAGATTGGCTTATGTGGCTTTTTGGTGTATACAAGAGAGGACTAGGAATAGGCCCACCATGGCACAAGTGGTGGAGATGTTGGAGGGACGCGTGGTGGTAGAGGAACCGCCCGATAGCCAGATGGTCATCGTTGACTTGCTGTCGAATGATGATGATGATTATCCTACGGCTGATTACAGGCCAAAGCTTGCTGCCTTTTCTGCTTATGGAGGAGATAATCATATCACAACGTCGTCTTCTTCGCACTCGTATGCAATGTCCATGGTGTCTGGGCGGTAGCTAATTGGTGATCAAAGAATAAGTAATAGTGGATAATTACACGCCAACTTTCATTTCTATTGTTAAAATATTGAGTGTTAAAACAGCGGAAAAGAAGAAAAAAAAATTTGGAATTACCTTTTGAGTTTTCCTCTATTTTGGGCTTCTATTGAATCTTGGTCACGGAAAATTTTCTTTGTGTCTATGGAATGGGGCTTTCCTTTCACGCCTAGATCTACCACCTTTCCTCTCACAATCGTTGCCCAAATGTCATGATGGTTTTACTTTCAAGTCCGCACAACAAACCCCTGGACTCCCACGGATTAACTCTGCCTCTGCTGCCAATTGTCGCCCAAAACCTCTGCTACCCATCCAACGGAGCTCATGTCTGCAGCTGTCGGCGCCGTCGATGTCCCTAACAAATCGCGCTCATGCATGCCTTCCGTTGTCGTCGCCGTCGTGCGAGGAGCTGGAGTAGCTGTCGGAGGAGAAGGTGAAGTTGAAGCAGCTCGAGGAGGTTGGGCTTGTTTAGTCTATGCTCGCGGGGGGGATAAAGTTTGAAGTGATGGTTAAATAGTGTGAAAGTAATGAGTAAACCGGAAATAAAGTCATGGTTTTTTTAGAAGGAATAGAGTCATGGTTTTAAACTTGTGGGTGGGTTAGTTGGTGAATTCGTATCCTAATTTGAATTATAATTTATAGTTTATTACAGTATTTTTTTATAAAAAATATACGTAAATTGAGAATAATTATAAATTATGATTCTGAATTTATGAACTAAATGTCTACTTAATACTTGTTGGGATGATCTTTTAGAAGATAATATGATATTTATTATTAATTTAATAAAAGAGTTTATTCATTATTTTATGTTTATATATTATTGAATATTTTATGAATATTATTGAAAATTCAGTGATTATTTATGTGACATTAAATATTGTATATAAGTATTATATGTGAGAGAGCAATATTTAAGGATAATAATTAAAATCATGTTCGTAATGAATTTAATTAAAATTTAGAATCTTTAATTAAAATATTATTAACACATGTCATTCTCATTTAGAATGGAATGGTGTTACATGCATCGTTAATATGACGAAATATTGAATAAGTATATTAGATATAATGAGATTGTGTGGAACCGAGACATAGGCACAATATGAATTTCTGATAAAATCTGTTGAGCATAGAAATTCGAATTGAGTCTAACGATGGTCATATATAGAGCGATCTTAATCATAAGTTATTAGCAGACTCTTATTTATAGATTTGTGTCTTTTGATTTACTTTAGTACAGATTCTAAGATGCTGAATCATATTTCTTGTATTTTGGAGACATGATGAAATGAGTAGCCAAGAATATTATTATACAAGATAAAATCCATTCCTTCTTGAGAAACAAGTAGATAAATAATTATCTTGAGAATTGATTCGGTACTTGGACTAGTAGGAGCTCCGATTCATGAATTTATTTTATGAATCATTATTCATTAGAGAATCAATGGTACTCAAGGAGAAAGATATAATTAGAGAGGTTAACTGATTTCACCTAGCTCTAATTATGAATTATTTATAGAGGATTGATCAATATGTAATGACTATATCAATGGACACTTAACAGTTTAGAAGTAAATTATATCTATAATTGTGAGAGTGCAATTACAAGTTTATAGTAGAGTAACTTTCAGAATTAATATAATTAATTATTAATTTTATTAAAGCTAAGAATTATAGGTCCATAAGTCTCCCGCGTCGTCTTTGTAATCCTACAAAGACACTAAGAGCAAAATGAAAATTTTAGAATTATAATTCTAAATAAAACGCTCAAGAATAATTAATTGAGAATTAATTCTAAATTAAAAATAATGTGATTATTTAAATTTGAATTTTGGAACACACATGTGGAGGTGTCCACATGGTGTACACACCTAGCACAGTGTGAATCCTTTGGGGATTCAGTTGCTTGCTTTCTAAGTTATTCAATTGACTTATTTGATAAGTTGTCCTATAGAAATTCAAATTGAATTAAGTTTGACTAAAATTGAAATTTGAATTTGAGTCAATATTAGGCTACAGGATAAAGGAGAATTTTGCCCCTTCCCTATCTGCTTTTTGCGCCTACCACAAGGAGGAATATCCTTGTGGTGGCTGGCCCTATAGGATAAGGGAGGGAGATGGAATATTGTTTCCAAAATCAATTAGAAGTGGGAATAATTATCAAGCTTTATCTTAGAGATAAAATTTAGACTTCTTTTAGGAGTTTGACTACTACTCTATAAATAAGAGATTGCAAAAAATTGGAGACCACAATTTTTTTCTCTCCCTAGCATAGTGTGGCCGAATTTTATATAGTGAGGAAAGGAAAAATTTTCTCTCAAATTTCACGTCGTCCATATGTTGGTGTTCGTGGAAAACTTAAGTGTTTATTTGCTAATCTTATTTTGTTTCAGGTGTGCCCATACACACGTCTTCGTAGATTCAAGGAACTGACAAGAAAGATTCTAGTATTCTAAACAAGCTTGGAGCGAGGAAAGCTCGTGGTCAAAGAACTCAAGTTATAAACCTAATCGTTCGCTAGGTAAATAAATTAATTTGATTAAATTATTCGTGCATAAATTAATGTAATCTATAGAGTATCTCAATGATTTGTAAAATTTTTGTTATACACAATCCGTTAGATACACATTTCCACATCGAAAATTGTTTTTAAAACTAACAATACTATACCAAATAAATTCAAACCATGAGAACTTAAAAGAGGGTTTAAGTTCTCTAATATGGTTTCTGAACCCATCTAGGATGGTTTTAACCTAATGATCCAGGTTCCAAAAAAAAAGGAAAAAAAAATGAACATAGGTTCAAACTTTTTCCTGGGTTCAAAATCTAATGAGCGTGTAAAGTGAACAACCCTAAATTAATCATTTGACCAAAACTTAAAAGGTTTTACCAAATGCTGGTTTGAACCAACTCTTTAGTTTAAACCACTTGGGCTGTTTGGTTGGATGGTTTTGGAGGGTTTGAACCCAGAAAAACATTTCCCTTATTTGATTGCATAATAATTTGGACTTGGACTTAAGTTCTCAATAGTGTTCATGGGTTGGGTTGGTGCGGGGTAGGATTTTTTTTCCCCGCCCCAAAGGGTGTGGGTTGCACATATTTTGCCCCAACGATGTTAGAAAAATTTCACAACCCAACGATGTTCGGGTTGGGTTGGGGCGGTGCGGGGTGGGTTGGGTAGTCGGTTTCAACATTCAAAAAATCAAAGACTTAAAGTTCAATATAATATTCAAACTTCATCATTAAATAAAAATAGCAACCATGTTTATCAGTCCATCTAACATCAAACATGAAGCAAAGTAGCCCATCCAACATCAAATCCAAAGCAAACATAAATTAGTCTACACTTATAAATTAGTCTTAACATAAAACAAATAGCTTACGCAAAGCAAACATAGAGGCTTAAATCTTAATTCAAATCCATCCAAAGCAAGCATTGTAACATCAACCATATTTATCAATCCACACTCATAGGCTCCTCAATGGTTGTAGTAGGACATGAAGTTGAGTTATCTACAAGAGAAATGAACATAGCTTAAGTAATAATTTGGATAGTGTAGAGTTCATATAATAAAATAGATTAAGATACATACAAATTATTGTCTTACCTAGATTTTCATAAGTCTCCAAGTCATCCAAATAGTCTCTTACTTGCATAAAATTATGTGTAGACTTCAACCAATTTTGAGTACAAACAAGAGCCTCCACCATCTTAGGATTCAAAGAACTCCTAAATGGATCAAGAATGCGACCACCAGTACTAAAAGCTGACTCGGAAGCAACTGTGGAGACTTGGACAACAAGTACGTCACGGGTAATTTGAGACAAAACCTTGAACTTCTTACTATTATCTTTCCACCATTCTAAAATATCAAAATCAGGGGTTACAGGGTTCACATTCTCATCAGCTAGATACCTGTCCAGGTCATTTTTCTCCATATAACCCCCTCGTTGCTTCAAGAATTGACTTAACAACTCATTGACCGCTTGAACAGGTCGTTCTTTGGGAGTATTTGCTACCATTTCTCCATTTTTTTCATTATTAATCCCTTTACCATAAAAGGACATCAAACTAGACAATGTGTCATCCACTTTTTTGCATAACTTAGAGGCTATGGTAGCATCATAAACCATGATAAAACAGTACCGAAGATAGTCCCTTTTATATCTAGGGTCAAGTACAACAGCAATAAACAACATACAGTTAATATTTTTCCTATTGCCCCAATATTTTTCAAACTTCCTTCTCATCCCAAAACCCATAGTCGACAACAAGCAATCACTACTTTCACACAACTCACTCAACTGTCTTTGAATGGAACAAATCTCATGGAAAAAGTGTTGGAAGTGACATGTTGTGATGCACTAAATTTCAAAGTGACTTCATAAAAAGTCTTAAGAAATTGAACAAAAACCTTAGCATTTGCCCAATCTTCCTCCATTGGTGGTCCCACTTTTCTCTTCCCACCATCTTCTTCCAAAAAGTATCCTAAGAACTTTTCATCCTCCTCTTCATATATATCAAAAGCCTTTTGGAACTTAATAGCAACATCTAACATCATGTATGTTGAGTTCCACCTAGTTGGGACATCTAAAACCAACGAACCTTTATATTTAACTTTCTCTTGCTTCACACAATCTTTGAACTTTTGTAACCTTGTAGGAGAAGATTTGACATACTTAACAGCATTTCGAATTGTTGTTATTGAGCTATGCATCTCCTTTAGTCCTTCATTTACAATGAGGTTAACAATGTGAGCAACACAACGCTGATGGAGAAATTCACCGTCCAAAACAACGCCCTTCCACCCATTCACCCTTCATTTGAAATAACTCAAGACTGAATCATTGGCAGCAGCATTATCTACTGTCACCGTGAACACCTTTTCAAGCCCCCATCCATGCATACATTGCTCAATCAACCTCCCAATGGTTTTCCCTTTTCCATTTGCCATGGTACAAAAATTGATAATTCTCTTTTGAAGCTTCCAATCAGAATCAATGTAGTGGGCAGTTAGACACATATAGTGTATGGTTTGCAAAGAAGTCCAACCATCAGTTGTAAAGGACACCCTCTTACAATCCTTGCATAAAGAAACTTTCAATTTATCCTTTTCCTCACTAAACAATTGCAAAACATCTCTAGCAACTGTTATTTTTGAGGGAGGAATAAATTTGGGCTGCATTACTTGGCAAAATTGTTTAAACCCATCCCCTTCTACACTCCTAAACGGCAGATCATCCATGATCACCATCTTAGCTAAAGCTTTCCTACAAGCTTCTTTACTATACCCAATTGCCAACAAACCACTCCCACTTTCACTACTCGCACCAAAACTTAACAATTTCTGCTGCTTATCTTTAACTCTAAAGGGATTCTTTTTGTATTTTCTTAAATGAACCAACATGCTACTTGTCCTGTGCATTCTAGAACTACAAGCATAGTCCTTCCCACAGTAATTACACACCCCTCTTTCATCACCTAGATTCTTTCCTTTCTTAATAGTAAAATGATCCCAAACCTCATATTTCCTAACGGGCTTTTTCTTACCATATGTCCCATCATTCTCATATTCTAAATCAATCACATCATTTTTTGGTGATTAAGGGGCTGGTGTTTTGAAAACCATGTCAGAGACAGGCGATTCGTTTGTTGTACGATTAGGGGATCGGGAAGATGATGCTACAGTTCCAGAGGTTGCGGTGTGGTTGTCAGATGATGATAGGAACTTGTCCATCCTAAACAGAAAATATAAAGCAAGCCATTCACATAACAAAGAGCATAGTGAACATAATGACTAATAGAAATCATCCAGAGCTTAGAAACCAAACATTAGTATTAGCACTAATTGAGTAAATCCTAATACCCTAATAAAACCAATTCATTCATTCCTCTGTGAAGGAGAGCAACCACATTAATTTTGGCCCTGTCACATCTACATAATCTTTTTAAGAAAATAATCAATTATAAGTGTATCCTTATTTCAACCTTAAAACTCAAGTAAACCAAAAATCAACTATACTACAATGTAAGTTCACAAGTTTTTAGGCTCGTCTTTAATCCCTAAATTTAAGCTCATTTTTTGTTTTACCAAAACTTATTATGCTCACTTCATTTATAAAATAAACAAAAATAAAAAATGTCTCCTTTCAGAAAAATTCTCGAATAGGTAACGGGCAATACTAAAAGCCCCCCACAGAAAATTCATCAAACCAATAAACACAACCCATCCAGGGTTGGAGGCAATTGCAATTGCCTAAGGCCGAAAATTCATCAGTTAGGAAAGTTTTAACTAATTATCCATAAAAGTCATGTAATATTGAAATTAATTATATTAATTAGGTTCTATTTCAATTGGAAAATGTCGGATTAAGATCATTCAAGAGAGAAATTGACGAAAACAAGAAGAAACCAACTTATAAAGACGAGAATACGTAAAACGAATAAACAAATGAAAAAACAGATGGAAAACAACAAAAACACGAAGAAACGACAATTTTAACGAGACAATCTAGACAACAACAATAATCACAAACGTCATTTTATTGAAATTAATTATATTAATTAGGTTCTATTTCAATTGGGAAATGTCGGATTAAGATCATTCAAGAGAGAAATCGTTACCTCAAAAATTTAAGATCTCTTCTCTACGGCGTTTCTACTTGCTCCAAAAAGTTTCACTGCAGAAATAAAGCAGCTTCAGCCTTCAGTTGTGCTTTTGTTGAGAGAGAGAGAGAGAGAGAGAGGAAGTAGAAAAGAGAAATGAAGAAGAGAAAATGGGGGAGAAAATGGAGAGGGCAAGAAGAGGCTTCAGTCTTCACGGGAGGGGAGGGAGACCGAGAGATTGTGTTTGTGAAGTGTGAACTAAATGCCCTAATGATGCCAGCGGGCAGCCACTATCAACGCGGTAGAACTTGGGCTGTTGCCTATTGGGGGCAGTTGGGCTTGGGCCCAAAGTAAGCAGGTGGTGTATTTCATGCGGGTTGGGTTGGGGATTGCGGGTTGTTATTAGGCCAACCCACAATCCGCCCCAAACACTTCGGCCCAGAGGTATAATGGGCCAAAAATTTAAAAATAATGCCGCGGGTTGCTTTTTTTGGCTTGGGTTGGGGCGGGGTGGGTTGGGTTTGCGGGTTGTGCGGGTTTATGAACAGCCCTAGTTCTCAACCTGTTTGAACCTACAATTCACGGTTTTACCCAACTTGACCCCATCCCCCTCTCTTTCTGTTGGTTCTAACCCATTTTGCATAGTAATAACCTACCCTAAGGTTCCCAACCAACCATTTGCACCCCACACTTTTTAAAAGCCCATACTAGTTTAAATTTTATTCTTTATTTAGATCTTATATTTCTAAACTTTAGTTTGAATCATAAAAACCCTACATATTGATTCAAAAATTTTGATTTAAAAAATAGGAAAAAATTATTGAACTTACTCGTAAGAGTGCATAGAGTTAGATTTGTACTTTTACTCTTAATTAACACCCTTTTGACTAATATATGACTGACCTGTTTGTTCACTAGTTCAGCTCATTTTAGTTCAGCTTGAGCTGTGAATCATGTTTGGTAAGCACGTAGTTCGAATTATATTTCCCGTTCAAAATAAGTTAAACTGTTCAACTCTCCCTTCCATTTCAATAGTTTAAACTATTTTTTAATGGTAAAAAAATGTTCATTCTCTCCGCTTTTTACACTACCAAACACAAATTTAGATTTTATTTCCTATTTAGATTTAAACTTTAACGCACGTCTAACCGTTAATTTGGACTACAATCTAAACCATGCAGTTTGGATTTTATGTTCAAATAAAAAAGTTTAAATCAACACAATTCAAATCAACGAACTAAATGGGGGTATAATTCTTTAATTAGAAGGTATTAATAAAAAATGAAAAGTAAAAATCTAAGATATATATTTTAAAACACGTGATATTTATCTCATTTTCTTTTAAAACAAAGGTTTAAGTCTCATTCATTTTACTGATTCGAATTTAGAATTCGAGTTTTGTTACAGTAAAAAGTTTTAAAAAATAATTACATCTAACTTTTTTACTACAGTAAAATTTTTTTACATAAAATCATATCTCAACTTAAATTTAAAATTTAAATCAGCGAACTAAATGGATTCTTAAACTACACAATTTAAACCCAAAAAATGAACGGACCCTTGAACTAGTTGACTAAAGGCTGTTTGACTTTGAAGTTTATTTTGAACACGTGGCATTTATCTACTCCACCAACAGATCTCTGATTTCAAATTTCTCAAAAGCTTTCCTCCAAAAAAATTGTTTTAAAAAAAAAATTTCTCAAAAGGTTTTACAATCGGACGGACCAAAATTTATCATCTGCTACGATCTCATCGCTCGAGCAGATCCAACTGTTCCTCGTAGAACCATTCGGAAAACGACAATAGTCGAGGACAGTAGACAAATTTGGGGAAGCAGAGAAGAGAGAGAAGTCTCTGGTGCGTTTGTGCGGGTGTGAAGAAGAATAAGAGCGCTTTGCTTCTTTGAGCTTCTCTGTTCATAAATTCCAGGTTAATACCTACGCAAATTTTGTTCCTTTTTATCCTTATACTTTCTGATTACGTTTCGATTTTGTCTCAGATTTTGTATTTTCTAGTCCTATTTGTTTGTAATTCGTTTGGTGTTTATTTACTTACTTTTGTCATTCAAGAAGTTCATTTCGGAATGGAGTAGCTTTATTTATTGATTTTAAGGCCTTATTGTCACGTTCTCTTACTTCGTACAGTTGTTGGGAAGAAAGCTTTACTGATTTTTTTATCTGTTTTTTTTTTTCTTGGGAAAATCTCAATAGCTCTGGGTGATTTAGGTTCGAAGAATGATACTTTGGCTTTGTTTATTGGGGGTTTTTCTTTATTTTTTTATTTTTGTACCGTGCATTTTGAGATTAGCCTAAAATTATACCCTATATTTTAGATTATGCCTTCTCATTCCAAATTCATTTTAATTCCATACCTCTTGCAATCAAAGGTTGATCTTGACTATGAAATTGATCTAATGCCCTTCACATTTTTGAATTTTGATTTTTTTTTCTGAATTTTTTCTTATTCTTTTTTATTTTATTTTATTTTATTTAAGGGTGTTTAGGTCCTTTCCTTATCAAAGTTGAGTGAGAAAAAGGTATGCATTAGACCATTTCCAATGCAAATTCTAATGTGAATTGTATATGTAGCATCAAAAAGTATGATATGATTTGTTATTCTCATTTTTGCTTTACTGCATAATGCTATTTAAAATATAAAATCTATTTTTTTTCACGACCATTGAACTTTGAAAGTTGTAAAAGTAAACTTTTAGTTTTAGAATAATTAGAAAATGTAAAAGTTGTAATGATTACATGAAAAAGTAAAGATTTCAACTAATAACGATCAACTGCCAAATTTCCCATATGCTATACATAATGGAAAATTTGCAATAAAGTACATCATATGAGACATTTGGCACAACAAATAGCATTGTATTGGAGAGTGTTTTTTGCACTCAAATGCTAAATTTGCAATTGACATATCAATTATAGCATTGCATTGGAGATGCTCTTAGCGTAATTTTGAAATCTCTAGGTATAAGGTATGATTTTTTTTTTTTTTTTTTTTTTGGGATAACCTCAAAATGTAGGGTGTAAAAATGGGAAAAAAAGAACCTTGTTTATTTGGTGATGCTTTCATATTAGGAGCACTCCAAGTTCCTATTGATCACATGCAAGTAGTTGTTTATTTGTTTTAGTTAATTACACTTGTGTTTTTCTTTTAAAAGCAGCAGAAATATATTGAACATAATGTTAATTTTCCGTTTTCTTCATTGCAGGATCTGTGCTCTTCTCAGTCACTAAAGTTCGCAGTTTGGTTAGTGATATATTTTTTTGGGGGATAATATGAGCTTTACTGGCTCTTCTTTTGGTTCGGGTTAGTTATTTTATTTACTTTGATTTTTCTGTAATCTGATACTGATAGAGTTGGTTTTTTATTTGTGTCTAAAAGGTGATTTGTCCTGAAGATGTATTGGATTCTGTTGGCTCTTTTCATTTCTTGTTGTCATTACCCATTTGATTTGATCGAACCCTGTTTGCAGGAGGTAGAACTGTTAGAAGGGCATTTGAGTTTGGAAGGACATATGTAGTGAGACCCAAAGGTAGACACCAAGCAACTGTAGTTTGGCTACATGGCCTCGGTGATAATGGCTCAAGGTATTGTTATTGCATCACTTATAAAACTGATTATGAGATGCTAGTCCAGTAATTTGAAACTAAGGATCCGTTTGGTAAATAGGTTCAAAACGTAGTAGTTTCAACTTTTTTTGGTTCAAAATGAGAGGTTTGAAAAATGTGGTTTGAACTTGTAGCTCGAAATGATATTTGAGTGATGCAATTGATCATAGGGTTTGAAAAAGGAATAAAATCTGAAGCTGTGGTTGGGTTATGTACAATAAGAAAATAAGATTGTTGGTTGCATTGCTAAGCTGATTTTTTGAACCAAAATCACAGTACAAATTGGGTTAAAAATGTTGAAAACAAGGGGGGGTAATTCCTAAAAAGGGACCTATTTTGGGTTCAAAAGATCTAATCAGAGGTTTAAAATTGACTTCCCACCAACAACCCCCCCCACCTTCAAAAAAAGAAAAAAAAAGTTAACGAACACCTGCTTGGCTGAACTTTTGGGTTCAAAACAGCTGAATCAAGTTACCAAACGGCATCTAGTATTGTGCAAGAAAACAAAAGGATTTTTTTCCCGTCAGTCCCATCATCCCCTTCCCCAACAAGTTCCTAAATACGTGTGCACAAAATGCTGGATCAATTACTCATGAACCTTTATGGGTGAAGTAGTACAATTTTCATTAAGCTTTGGTTTTTCTTACTTGCAGTTGGTCCCAGCTTTTGGAGACTCTTCCTCTTCCAAATGTAAGTATAACTACATTTGAAAAATTTAGAGCACTAACATTTTTCTCTTTTTACTTTAATTCTAACCTTTAGCTCCAGATTTTGTCATCATTAATATGACGACAAACTACGGTGAAATAATGTGATGCAGATTAAATGGATTTGCCCAACTGCTCCTACTCAACCAATCTCTATATTTGGTGGCTTTCCTTCGACGGCTTGTAAGTGTGTCTGCATGGAGATGCTGCTTATTTTCCTCATATAAGTTTGCTATTGCTTCTCTTTACTTGTGCATCTTTGTGTCTACTAAAGGCATAACAAAATTCAAATCAATAAATTTGAGATGTTTGGGAAAATCAATGAAAAATAAAATTATTATTGTCATGCGGAGGAAAGTTATTATGGAGGTTGAACTAGTTGCTGGAACTTATTCCTCTAATTTTGTTCGATGTATTGCTAATGTCACATATAGGGTTTAATGTTGGAGATCTTTCGGAAGATGCTCCTGATGATTTAGAGGGTTTGGATGCTGCTGCTGCACATGTTGCGAATTTGCTGTCAAATGAGCCTGCTGACAGTAGGTTTCTTGCATTTATATGGTATTGCATTAAATGTTATGTATTCTCGCTGAAGAATTGTAAAGATTTTTTCTTAAATTCAAGTACTATGAACATGTCATGGTTTTTTGCGCTTTATTTGTAGCTTGGAGTCATTATGATTCAATTACATACTGTGCTGAAACCATGATTTAGGTGACAGTATATACAACATACATTTATATTGCCTTAGGTTGATGAATGCGTTTTATGATTTGGAAAGAAAAGATGTATGTATTATATGAATGTAAGTAAATAAATTTTATGGACAATTGTACGTGTACGTACATCTTCACTATTCTAATGCCCCTCTATTTTAAAATATCAAGAATATTTGTCTTGCTCTCATAAAATTGACTGTCCTAACTGATTTTTTTATTTGGTAGTTAAACTTGGAGTAGGAGGTTTCAGTATGGGTGCGGCCACTGCCCTGTACTCTGCAACCTGCTTTGCTGCAGGAAAGTATGGGAATGGTAATCCTTATCCAGCAAAGCTAAGTGCGGTCGTTGGACTAAGTGGTTGGCTTCCATGTGCAAAGTATGGATTCTTATGTTCTCGTTTTGACATACCTTGTTTCTTTTATTTTGCATTGTTCTGCTCGTTGGTTGTTATTTATATTCCCTATCTGTTTTCTGAAACTCATTAGTTCCATTCTTTTTCAGGATATTGCGTAGTAAGCTTGAAGAAGGGGTGGAGGAAGCCACAAGGCGTGCAGCATCCTTGCCCATTTTTTTGTGTCATGGCAAAGGTATTCATTAGCTTAAAAACAGATTATGTAGTTTAACTAAGAAGGTCCTCTCTAGATTTCTAGGAATCTTTTTGGCATAAATCGTATTTGATGACTATAGGTAGTCATTAGCGATTGTGTAATCATCATTTTAGAGTAGGTTGCAAGTATTTTTTCTGCAGTTTATTGAGAGAGGGGGGCCATTAGAGTGTGAGAGAAAACTGTTTCTAAGAATTTTGAGATCTTTTCCCATTTAGGGGGTGCTTCATTGTTGTGTGATTCTCAATGAGTTACTTAGCAGCGGAAACCTGTCACGACCCCAAAGATAAGACCGTGATTATTGGAATACAATTAAAGAAAATTAACTTAATTAAACTTGATTAATTAAGGAAAATTCATGAAAATAAAATATACAAATACCAAAATAGATATTAAAATACATTGTTCCGGAGTCTTTCTTTTACAAATAATATTTAAAATAGTCCACAAAATCTAAGGAAAATAGTACAACTCTGAGACATTGTCGACCAATGTAGTTTATATATAGAAATACAATACATCTCATAATTAAAAACTGTAAATTCGAAGCAAACTAACCACTTTGAATCTCGCGCCTTCAATCCATTAGCATCCACTCGCCATGTTGTAAATCTAAACCGCTAACTCTGGGGGGGGGTTTAAAACATTGAAAACAGAAGAAAAATGAGCGGAAGGCCCAGTAGGATATAATTCTATAAAAATTTAATAATTAAAGTACTCACGGTCCGAAGACATACACCCGGAACCGATCATCCTTTAAAGAAAGGAAATCCTTACGTAATAGTAGCAAAATATTTGGATAATAAAAATATGCAAAGCCATAATATCACCATTGACCAAGAAGTGGCCCATACGGGTTTTAGGGCCTGCCCCCAAGGATACGATTCCCATATCTCAATTTCTGTGGTCATCATGCGTTTTATCATTTCTTAAAATATTTCATTTTAAGAAAGAAAACTCTTTAAAATCTCATTTCCAAATTATTGGAAACTCAATAGCAATTCATGCTATTTCTTCTAAAATCATTTTTCTTTAAACATTTTTTGTTTTAAAACATTTTCATAGGCCAAAATCATTGAAATCATGGCTATCAAGGATATGAACAAGAATATCCTACCTCTCGGATATCAAACCTGGGATAGCCTTTCGTTATCCTAGCCTCCGTTTTTCTCAAAACTTTTAATCTAATCCTTCAACTAACATTGTCACAAAACAAAGTTTTAGGACACAATCCTCATTCCTAAAACAAATCAAGTTCAATTATGTCTAATTGTTTCCTATTAGTGTGCCTTGGTTCAAATCCGAGTTTCACAAACGACTTTATAATTCAGTTTAGGAGTTCTTTAAAAATTGAAATCCAATTCATTGGTTTGGTTTCCCATTGAATTTTGACTTAAAAACAAGTTTTTAAAGAAATTTTGGTAGCATGCCAACATAAATAGGGAAAATGTCAAACCTGCAATTCAAGTTCAATTTCAAAATAAATTCTCCAAAAATCATCAAACCAGTTTCCAATCAATTCAACAAGTCCAATAACTGAAAATTCCCAAATTTAATTCAATTCTAACAACAATTGTTCAAATCCAAACTAACTCAAAATTATTCAAATCCAACCAAAATTACAAATTCTCAAGTTAATAACTCAAATTCATGTATGGGTTTTCAAGAAATCTTTACCTCGAAGTGATTGAAGCCTGTTTCCCTCTATTTCTCTTGTTTTTGTTTTGTTTTGTTTTTTTTTCTCTTCCCTGTTTCGGCAGGGACTTAAAGAGAGAGAGACCCAAAGAGAGAGAGGGGGCTGGAGAGAGGGAGGGAGTGGTGGCCGGCGGTGAAGGAAGAAAGAGAGGGAGTTGTCGTGAAGAACGAGAGGAGAGAGAGAGAAGAAAAAGAAAGAAAGAAAGAGAGAGAGAGGGAGAGAGGGAGTGGTCTGGCAGCCATGGGAAGGAAGGGAAGGGAAAAAGAAAAGAAAAGAAAGAAAAGAAAAGGAAAAAGAAAGAAAAAAGGAAAAATAAAAGAAATAGGGAAAAATAAAAGAAAATACATTAAAATTAAGTGTATTTTCAAAAACTTTTGGGGTGAAATCATAAATACTGACTATAATTTAAAGTTCCTTAATTAATTAGAAAAATTAAATTAGGCACACCAATAACTTACAATTTAGCATAATTAAACATGTTTAATTTTGGAGGGCGTTACAGTTCTACCCCCCTTAAGGAATTTCGTCCTCGAAATATGAATAGGTATGGATATCGCTTTTGCATCGTTGCTTCTAGTTCCCAGGTCGCTTCCTTAATACCTTGGTGTTGCCACAACACTTTCACTAATGGTATCTCACGACGGCGTACACTCTTCATCTTCCGGTCGAGAATCTGAACTGGTGCTTTCTCGTAAGTCGTGTCATATTGGATCGGCACGTCGTACCATTGCACAATAGCTTCCGGATCGGGTTTACACTCGTGAAACATAGAAACATAGAACACATTGTGCACGTGAGATAATTTAGGAGGTAAGGCAAGGCGATAAGCAACGACACCGACTCGTTGTACGATTTGGAATGGTCCAATGTATCTTGGCGCAAGTTTTCCTTTCACACCACACGAGTGATTCCTTTGCATGATGAAACTCTTAATAAGACAAAGTCGCCTTCTATCAGCATAACTCTTCATTTAATCAAACTTGGATTATCTAAAAGGATTCTTTCAACTTGGTCAGATCTCATACTTGGGCTGATTTAATGTCAGTTACGGAAACACGTGCAAACCGTATTACGTGTCACTAGAGGGTAGAAAACTGGTTTATAATGAAAATAGACATCCAGGTCTTTCCAACGAGCTATCACATGCCCTATTTCAAATATTTTAAGCCTTTCAAATACATCTTACAAGAAATTGAAATTCTGGAACTTCAACTTTTCAAGGCATTTTGAAAAGTTTCTAAGCAAAACATCAACTACGCACATCTCGGCCTACAAAACTCCAAACAAAGTGGTTTCAAGTGCTACACATCACTAATGACGCACACTAAATGGTAGGCTAAGTGTTTTAAGTGTAGCGATCTCGGTTCTAGAAGTTGGGTTCAAAATTCACACCTTTTGCGTATGCCAAGAACGCAGTGTTGACCTATTCGACTAAAATGATCATAAAACATTCCACATAGATTGAAAGGGTGTAATTTCAGTTTTTGAATAAAGTAGACACATAGAGCTTCGAAACGAGCTATCATATGTCCAAATCCGAGCTTTCTAAGTACCTCAAAAATAGTTTTCAATAAATCAAAATTCTATTATTTCTTGGTTCTGACAGCTTTTTAAAAGTTTTTACATGAAACTTCTAATGCGCACAACTCTGATTACAAAATTCCAAATGACGTGATTCTAATTCCCACACGTCACTAATAACATATTCTAAATGGTAGTAACGATGGATTAGGTGCAGCGATGCCATTTCAAAAAGTAAGATTCTCAGTTCTTTGTTTTATCAATTCTTAGAAAAGAACAGATTTGACAACTGTTACGAAAATAATCATAAAATATTCTACACAACCCCGAAAATTACAAAATCAGTGCCTAATCGAAGTAGACATCTGGGGCTTTCCAAAGAGCTATCATAAGCTTAGTTTCGGGTCTGTTAAGGTCTCCAAAAACACATTATACCATATCAAAACGTGGCTGTTTTCTGCAGAATTTCAGAAACTATATTTAACTTCAAAAATGCATATTGAGCTACAGTTGTCCGTTTGAGGTGATTCTTGCGGCTATACGAAGCTTAGGATGTCTAGTTTCCAATTATGTAACCCATTCATTCAAATTCATCTCCAAGGATTCCCAGAATTCAACAGTATCGAACCTGTTCAGGTTAGGTTCTTTGACACTTTTTCTAATAAATTGAAAAATTGATAACTTAAGCTACAAAACTCCTTTTTGGGTGATTCAAATCTCCTATCAAAGCTTGGAAAGTCTATTTTAAGGTTCTAACATAGCTAACATTAAAACTTATTAAGAATAATCAAGTCCTAAGCTTTTCTTTGGGCTGCTCCTAGAATCCTCCCCAAAATCATGTGGATCAAGTGGGGAAAGTATGATTAAAGTCCAAAATAATAACATTCAAGAGAGAAATTCCAAAGAAACTCATACTTAATGTTAAACAACCACAAAGGCTCCAAACTACTAATCGTTCAGTCATAAATCAGTTTCTAACTCGAATCAATATTCTTCATAAATCCAGTAAAATGGTAGATCCGTCGACCTTAATGGGAATATACATAAATTATTATCTACGTCTCCAAAAATTTCAAAATGAACTCTATAAGAAAAGTAGACATGTAGATCTTTGATTTGGTATGTTACAGAAAATCAGAATGGCCTGTCTAGAAAAATTCTTATAGTTGCATGAAATCCATAACGTGGACTAAATGACTTCAAGGTTGATTTTAATGCAACATCTACGGTTTGACACTGATTTTGAAAACGTCCAAAGTGTTGTTCATACTTATCGTTAGAACTACCTGTTCTAATTCCACATTAAATTGACAAGACATCTCCCTAGGATTGTCGAACCCAACATCTTTAACCCGAGGGAACTCAACCTCAACTGTTAAAGAAATTCTTCCATTTAAGACATCACTTTGAAATATAAATCAAAGGCAAGGATGCCATTCACATGGTGGAAAAGAGGCGAATACGACAATTCGCCAGGATAGTCGTTCTGGAACCTATGAACTAGGACTTTCTACGCCTTTTCTGTGGATTCCTACGTGTCAAACGATGGAAAAGAACATCCATCTTGCGACTCTGCTAGTAGCATCATGACATCGGTTGTCACAGTCAATCATTCTATCAATGAGAAAGAAACGAAACTCTAATCTCAATAAAATCGGACCACTCGCCTCATTCGAGTCTTTATCAGTTTCATAATTATGGAATGAGACATGGAAACGCTTTGTCATCCAAGAATCTCAGATTCGAAATATCATCAATTCCAGCT